GTGTCAAATATTATCTTTTTTCAATTATTCAATTATTGAAGTAATAATTTCAAGTATTCAATTGTTTCGTCGTCATATTTTTCGCTCGTATGTCCGTACATCACGCCAGAGGTATACGAAAATTCTCAGCAGTCCTGAGGTGCTTCAATTGCACGCAGCCGACATTCATTAGCAAACTGGCATGTTGATCACTGTCAATAATTCAACTCATATACAATAAATTCACCAGAACCGTAACTACCTGCCCTAGCAATTAAATGTATATATCAGTCGCATCAAATTCTGCATTTACACAACACAACAATTGCGGTTGCTGTGACTATCGTTCTGTTTGAATTTGAGACAACGTCACATATTGTATTGAGTATTGAATTCCACGTTGCTACATATTTTTATAAGGACATATGACGCTTGCTATTACCAATATTGATCCGTGCAATATTGTGTTCGACAACGGGCTGATCCACGCTGTTGGCCCCTTATGCCCCAGGGCAATTCCCAAGGGGCGGATCATCGGGGCCGACCGCGTCAGAGCAGGACCATCACAAGTTGCGCCGCCCCGGCGCCGTCCACCCATGATCCTTCCAGACAGATCCGGGATCCGCCCGGCCACAACCGGGATCCTCCCGAACGGGGCCGGGATCCGCCCGGCACGGACGCACCGGGCCGCTGCCATGCTGGGGTCGTCCTGCCCAAAGGGATGCCCGGGATGAGGAGAGCGCTGGATTGGAAGCGGACGAGTGCGGTGCCGCAGGGATGGGGAGGGAGGAATTCGAGGGCCGGCGCGTTTGGGTACGTCGGCGATGGCAAAAATGCGCCACGCCGTCACTAAAGTACAAATAATGGCTATTGTAGCGAACAATAACGCTAATGGGAACAGTAATGCGAACAGTAATGCATCGACTTGTTGGTTATTTCCAGTAATGATAATATATGGCTAATGGAAATTTCAGTAATTGTGATAAAAGTGTATGTAATGGCGAGCATTGGGTGATGATTAATATTTCGTCATTCAAACGTCAGTTTACAAAATAATCCCCTGCGTGAGCGCAATCGCTGATGTCTTAACTATTAGGCGGTAACAGAGAGGAACTGCGCGCACCAAATAACATCCATGTCTGGAAAACTGGGATTGGGCATATTCGTGAACTTGTAACTGTAATTGCCAAAGTGATACTGCCGCTGCTGCCACTGAGGCCCGTTATTCTGAAAGCCTGTGGGGAACATCGTAACAGCAGCATGAATGCGTAAGCCCTCACCATGCACCTCCGCACAGAAAATTATGCCATCTTCTGGCGGGCGATTCAGAATACCAATCTGTGGAAAGCGCGCTTGCTACTTATCGCCGTCTTTACGTCCACACAGGGTTGCCGATTCGAACCCAACGATACCTGAGATTCCAATGCCCTTGCCTGGCTATCGGCGTTCTAAAATTTCTAAAGCGAGAGACCAGCGCGCTCAGGGGACGCAGTCTCGCGCAGCGGGGCTCAGCCCAGGCACTTCTGCGCCTTCCCTGCCGCCTAAAGAACGGCGTTGCCGAGAGAAGGTGGGTGGCACGGAGAAGGCCGTTTCTTGATGCCTACAAAATAACACGATTTAATGTGTTTCTACCATAACAAAGGAATGTATATTAGTCTTAAAGTATCAAATATCAAATGAAATGTAAAAATTCTGGGCTGCTCCAGCATTGCGTGATTATTGGAGCAGTCCAAGAATTTTTCATTGCATTTACAGAATTCAATCGGATTGGAAGTTCTAATTATTGCAAACAATCACATTTGGAAGGGCAAACTCCTTTAAAAACGTATGCATCCATCCCAAGCGAGTAAGCATCACTCATTTGGCGTAAATCTGCTTGTTTACGTATCGAACATAGGAGGTGAGTGTAGGATAGAAAGGGGTAGAGGCCATTGTCTTAACAAAGATGTAGACAGAGTCAAGGTACTCACTGTGCTCGCGGGCACACTGAGTCCTCAGAATCTTTTTAACAGAGAATCAATATGTCAAAAACAATACAAAAATCTTGACATTCATGTCATGAATATTGTACATTATCATGTAGCAATATTTGCGGTCATGATTACCAGCATGCAGTGCTGAGATGCAGGTTATAAGATATGCGCATAGCGTACTCCTAACAGCAAACTAAAGTATTCCATTCTTGCATGGCACTGGTTAAAGGTGGTGCCAAGAACACAATGTGCACAACACGGATGGGACGTTCTTAACAAAACTCACCCTCTAGTTGCTACATACATATCATTACAAAAAGATAATTGAACAATCGATATGCACAATGCTTTCTTGTATTGTTCAAACGCCCTGAGAATGGCAACAATTGCAACGGCCCACAGAAAGCACAAGAGCTCAATCAATGCCGTCCAGCAATTCAGCGCGACAGATCATGCTCCCAACCTGCCGCAAACGCCGACCCAATCCTGCCAGATCTAACGGTATGTACCTAATATATGTTATTTGCATTTATACATAATTGATGTTCATATTCAAGTATTCAGTATTTATCAAAAATGAATTGATTTCCGAACCGACAGGTGGGGGCAAGCTACAGCGCAGGCACCAACAAGGCCCCGGGGCCCCGGCCCCACGCCTTTGAAACACGCGCCCGCCTGCGAGCGGTGGCCTCACTGCGCATGGACAGGCGCCAGATGGGCGAGGAGATGCGCAGGATGGCGCTTGAGGCCACGGCCATGAAGGCCGTCAAGGCGCGGGAGGACTCGCTGGAGCGGCTGATCGTGTGCGCGGAGAAGCTGAACAAGGGGGCGGTCAGCAGTGGGGGCGTGATCACGCTGGAGGACCCCATTGTCAAGCTGTTTTATAGGCGAGCCATTTGGCGAGAATTAAGCAGCGATGGGCTTGGATGATGTTATTTGGGTACAATGCAGTAAAAGGCTCCGCAGTTTGCAAGACTTGCTTGTGTCACCTTTTCCCTTGAAAGTTTATACTATAATTTTAATTTACTCTACTGTATAGTACTTTATGCTGCTGCGGGGAGAAAACAGGGACAATTAATTTGCTTGATTCGAGACATATTGATTTGCGTTAAATGTGAGATATGCGTGGGTTTAAGTGGCCGGGGCGCTCTTTCGGTGCGAACGCGTGCAAGATTTGATATTTGGCGGTGAGTTGGTGCCCTTGCTTGGGAGAGTGATTCTTCAATGTACGTCAATGATGCTCAATGTCTAGACTGGCTTCATTTCCACGTAATGGGCCGTCTCGTTATTTATCCCTGCAATGTTCGGACGAATTTCTTGTCTTCGGGCGGTGCACAACTTTGGTGAATTGAGTATTATGGAATTTTTGGCCTTTCTGTTTACACTATCGGCTCTATAGTTGAAGATGCGGTGGTAAAACGTAGTAAATATTATCTTACGTATTTTAAATTACCTTTTCAGCAGCAGCTTGGTACTTTCCGTGACCTAAGGATTACTAATATTTCCTTGATGATGCATTGCTGCATCTTACTTCCTAAATAGGAAGTATTCTGTTGGTTCCAAAACAGATGTCTTATTTTTCCGCGAGTAGTAGATGTCCTGATATTGGAAATTGCTGCATGCCTGAATTCGATTGCTGAAAGATAATGCATGCACAAAATACTTCTGGCACCAATTATTGCATGCTTGTAACCAAGCCAGCCATCAATATTCTCTCAGGCCTCACCTTTCAACATCGCAAGTTTGCGCTGAGCGGGAAAACCGGATACCAAATATTGCACGCCGACACTATTTGGAATATTGGAACTTACTACTTTTATGCGATTTCGCTAGCGCCTGGTAGGTCCATGAGCGCATTCGATGAAAAAAATCAACAACTGACGTGCCTGACGTGACCGGAAAGAGAATTGAGATATTTGCTTGTACATAGCAGCCATCTTAAAGATTGCACAAAAAGATCCTTTTACAGCGCCTTTTTTCCCTTCCTTCAACCAAAGGGCATGTTTTCTGCTGCCTTGTACGTTTTTTTGATAATTGTTACTCGTATTATATCTACATTCTATTTACTGTTTTCCCGTTGACCCTCCGCAGGCTTGTTTCCACGTTGCGGCAGCGGACTGTGGACGCCGTGGAGTCGGTCACCGCATACCAGAGAGCAGTGGCAACGGCCACTCCATTCAGCTACAAGTGAGAGTTTATTTCGATCTAGCCATTTGCTGTTTTAATTGATACAAGAAAATAAATATGCGGAAATTGGACTTAAGATTATATATTAAATCGTAAACTTTGCCACCAAACCGAAGCCATGGAATGGATTCAACCGATGATGAACATCAATGCATGCAGAATCTCCTACAGTGCGCATAGTCCCTGTGCGTCGGTTGTGAAATTTACTTAGTTTCTTTTGATAAATACATTATTGCAGCCATATTCAATACCATATTTTTTGAAGGTCATCTCCGAGGACCATTATGAAAATCTGCGTATTTCAAATCTCGGTGCGTACCAGACCATGAAATTTTATCGTCAGTGCCAATTAGGCTTTTAAATTATTCGCGAATAGAAGAGTCGGCTGATCTTGCATATAAACCTGGATACTGGCTCAAACGCGGTATTTGTCTGCATGGTTTTACTCGTAATTCGCTGCAAGCCGCTTGAATCCGACGATTGCGAACATCTTAAACCATTTTTGTGGTAGAAAAACGCAAAAATGCAACAAATTGTTACAGGAATTTTGCCTTCGCGCCTATATCTCAATTTACCCAGCTCCATGCCCATCTCGCAATGCCAGTGACGTCGTCGGCCAAGAGTACCCCTTTCTCTCACTCAGGCGTGTCCAGATTGAGTTCTCCAGACTCCTTGACGTGATGGAGCCTCGGAAGTGCCCACACGCGGCTCATTTTTACACACATTTGCCATTCTTTTCCCAAAATAACGCACATTATTCAATCACAAAACACTAATTTGTTCCGCCCATTCTAAACCCTTCCATTTCCAAAGGTCTCAACATCTCCTTCCGTTACTAACCGCCGCGTTCGTTAATTTCAGCGGCTGCAACTATCTCCAGAAACTGGGTCCCGACCTCGCCTTCTTGGACGGTGTCCCCTGCTTGAAGCCCCGCCTTCGGGAGTTCCGCGCCGTCCAGGACCCTTTCCTGAAGAGCCTAACGCCGCACGGCATACCAATAGAGGAAGCCACTTCTCTAGACCTTCGGCGAGGGGGGCGCCTCAGGCCAGACACCCTAAGGCTGAGGATGGCTTCCAAGGTAGGTCTTCGCCTCATTTTCGATGTTTCGATATTAAGATGTTCGTTACGCGCTTAGGTAAATATTGAGTTCATTGTGAAGTAAATGCTCAATTGATAATTCGCTAGCCTTTTGCAACTCGAAAATTTCGGTGCTTACGGTTTGAGGAGAGAACAGCGTCCCCGGTTCAGAGAACACAGGGTGACATACAACAAAATTGGTCATCAGCCACACTTTTCCGGGCATTTGATGCTTAAGAGTTTCAGTCTCCAAGGAAATAATCAATGTGTGACAACAGGGCAGCGTTTGCTTGAAAGCCGGTAAAATGATCCGATTATCATGTTAATGAAGCAATCGATCATTTGTAGTTGATCCTGGAATTGCTGCGACACCATGGGGCATCAGTCATTTGAAACCCCATTCGTTTGGGCTCATATATCTACCTTGACCAGTTTCTTCATTTCAATGGCTTGACATTCCCGGGGTGAATTCCTTGGACAAGGGTGCTCTCTGCAGCAAGCAGTCTTGGCGGGGTTCTCATTTTCTTGTTCATGCCATTCTGATAGGAAATAAGAGATAGAGCGTACCCATGCGCTGTATTTTGTGGTTTAGGATATGCACGGAATGGCTTTTCTGGACCCGTCATTTGCATCAACGGCGCAATAATCAAACATTAGCTCAGCAACATGGTTGCACAAGTATGTACTGCAGTATACAAAGACTGGCACCGATTGCACAAGAGCGTCACTGAAAATGGGCCAGATCGACGCTCCCTCGAGCCTTACCAGCACCGCGTCCACTATGACCGCTCAAAAGGTGGCGGTATCTTCGAAAAAGCATATTCAGAAACGCAAGCGTGTAAGTGTTACGAGCAAAACCTTTGTTTATATGAATTGGTTACCCACCCACTCTACCACCTCTGTCAGCTTCTTCCTGACTACCTGGTGCTATATAGCACACAGCCAATGTATAGCAATATAGAACCAATATATTTGTCTCAGAGCTGTGTACAGATGGGGTGTATTTGCGTATATTTTGGTACTGTTCTGCGTGATGAAAATTCATATTCAGGCCGACACAAACATATGCACGAACGCGCATGAGTGTTCCAGCATATGATTCAATAGAGAACCAATTACAGAAAAGGAAGGTGGCATGGGACTGTGTTCAATGCAATACACCAATCAGCCAATTGAGCTAATGTGCGGGCGAGATATGAATACGGGTTTTCTCGTGAGGCGCTCAAAGATGTGCAGTTCGGTTCAGATCAAATCAGGTCCGCTCGAGACTGTACTTTGCTGTGCTAAATGGCTCATTGAGCTTAGGGGTAACGAGTTCATTACTGAATAGGACCTAGGCTGCTTCCCCGCGCCAATGCAGGTTCTCTACAGGCACGAAGATTCCCATGAAGGTCCCATGAGGCGCAAGAACGGTGCGTGCGATTCGGAAAATCGGGAAATCTCTCTGATCGTATCAAATTCGAGAAAACCGCGCTTGTCTCCTGTGCCCAAGTCAAAGGAGGAGGAGGAGGTGTCGCATGAGGATGTGGCCATGGTGGAGCGCATGGCTGCGGTGGCAATTCAGAAGTATGTGCGAGGATGGGCGGCGAGAAGACAGGTGCGGGGCTTATTTCGATTGGCAATTCCAACAGCAAATCATTCCACCAGTACATTATTCAAACAAGGAACCAAAACATGAGTCCGTCCAAGAATCAATCAATGGATCAGTCGATTACTCATTCAAGTGGCCAGCCGGTCGGTCAGCCAGCCAATCAATCAGTGACAATACGAGCACTCTTTTATGAAGTGCCGCCAGGATAGATTAGGAAATTTGTATGTCAAGCTATTTTAGTCATTATGAATTAAAAGTGTTCCAGTGAAAAGGATGTGAATAATTATTCAAATCATTTTTTCAATGAATTATTATCAATATGTAAATTTGCAAGCTGTAATGATTGAGCCTGCCGAAGCAGAATGCCCTGTGAACATTCCAGATGCAGAGAAAGGCTCGTTTATGCATCTTCTGGCACGTTACAGTATCCTAATTAGACGCGCAATGGTAGCCAGCAACAGCACCCACAAACCGTTTTGCCGTAAACGCATGGAAGACATCTGTGCTCACTTGCAAAAGCACACACGTACTGTACACACGTATTAAGAATTGTTCTTAACAGAAAAGCACTTGCGCCAATGTGCTGGAAAACATCGCCGCCACTGTATGCTTTCAAGTCACTGATCCAGCATGTCATTTGCCGAAAAAGTGCTTTGAAATGCCGCAAACTTAATGTAACGTTGATAACACATCAAATTACCGCACAGTTTATACGGTTCGATGTGTCTCATTTGAGCACACATTCCCGCCACAGGGGGTGTCTTTCAATCAATTTTGTTCATTTCTATCAATTTCGCTACTTAGAACAACACAAATAATGAGCTTTTGGCGCTATTGTCTGTTTTCTGTTGTTTTCTCTGTCTTTTAAGTCCAACATCTTGTATCATGTTCAAGAGTCAGTCGCCGCCTCCGTCCTGACAACAAGAAATGGGCTCACATGGCCAGGGCCATATACCACCTGACGGGAATGTGAAGGCATGCAGATCTCAATAAACGAGCGCAAGTAAAATGAGTAGCAATCTCAGAGAAGGGAAGATTAGGAAACTGCGGGGTCCCTGGCGGATCAGATCAATTGATATCTTAAACATTCTTACTACGCAATATACGATTACACAAACTGAGATAATTTGAAAATTTTTCGCCCTCTGTTATGTTTTGGCTGACGCTCATCTTCCTGCCTTAGAGACGCGATCGGAGTCGAGCTCAGCTAAGGCGCCTGCATGCAAATGCACAGGCCACCTTCGAGGACACCGGAGTTGGGGAGGGCCCAGATTCAGATTACATAATAGCGGCCATGGTGGCGTCACTAGAAGACCCCTTGTGCCTGCGCCTGCCGCAGCACACTTTCACCGTCTCCGGGTACCACATAGACCGGGCCATCCAAGGAATGGTCGCCTATGCCGCCACCTTCGAGTGTGCTGCCGACATAGCGGCTTCAATAGATAGGGATGAACTAAGCAAGCAATTCTCAGAGTCCATGACGTCATTTGCGCCGGGTGTGGAGGATGTGACCTATCGGTTTGAGGAATGTGAACATGGATGGGAACGTTTACGGAATGTGGAAAGAAAGTGTGTGAAATGTGCGCTATCGGTCGAGGAGCGCGTGAGCGTGGACGCGAGTTGCTGGGAAATGCAGCAAAGTGCGGGTAACAAATCACTGGAGGTGATAAAAAAGATCAGAAGCAGGAGTGAAGGTTGGCCCGTGAGCCTAAAAATCCACACCAAGGAGCCGTCCGCAGAAGACGTACATGTGGACTTGGACATGATAGTGCTTGAGGAACGGGTCTTAGTCCGAATGCACTCCCTGCGGGACTTCTTGGCAGGTTCGGGATCCGCGCCGGATCAACCAGATCATGGCGCTGATCAGGACGCGCCTTTGAATGTGGAGGTGAGGGCAACAGAAGCGAAGGCGTGGGCAAGCCTTGGGGTGAGGTTGCTGGAGAACTGGCGGCCACTGGAGGTATCTTTGGTCGTTTTGGAGGCGGGCCATTGGGATGGCAAAAGAGACTGGACCAACGACGTGGAAGTGGACATAAGCGTCCATGCGCATGTTTCTGTCCATTTTGATATAGATGAGAGCGTGGCTTAGATGGGCAGAATAGATAAAGGGGCGGTGTGGGAGTGGGGTGGATGGGGTGCGTAGGTTGGGGCGGGCGCTAGGAGGGCTGTGCTGCCGTGGCATGCCAGCAGGTTGTAAGGGGTTACATAAGATTCTTGACTCTGGGAAACATGATAAGATCATTGTTGGTGAACATGAGTCCCCTCTATGAATATTCATCCGAAGGGCACGGCATGAGTCATCCCATGCCCACAAAGGTATCCTGGTACAAATGGGATAGGCATATATGCAGAGATATAGACATATAGACATATCGAAATATATATGTATGCATACATATATGTGTATGCATCAAATCCCTTTCCTCACTCCCCCAATCTGCCTGGCGCTGTGCGTACCTTCAATACCTGCACAACACACAATAACTTGTTCTACATAATTAGCGAAGACACATTGCAGATGAAGCAGAAGAGGTAACCTTCGATGAATGATAAGGCAATGTCCACGTTTTCTTTATGAAACAAGGTACTGCATCAACGAAACTCCCAAGCAACGAGTCCAGAAGGAGATTGTTGACGACAGTGCATCGAAAGTAACGTCTTTGCAAGAAGGCGAGGTGGAACAAAAGCAAAAATGATTTGGTCCTGACATGGCAAAAGACACCGCGGCGTCTGCATGTAGTGCCAAGTCCACGAAAGTGACTATGTGCCGTGGTATATTCAACCCTTCCGCATAGGAACATAACAAAAGTGAGAGTGTGTCCCATATTCACGACCGGGGTTCGATCAAACGACGCATTTTTCTGGTTCGAGCACCGTGTGCCGTCGTGCAGCTGCCCCGCCAGTATCATTCCGCAATCATTGCAGCATCTGCCCGCCAGATTCCCTTCCCACGCCGCCAGGACCTCAAGGCACAGCTCCTCTTCCCCCAGCCACCGAACACCCAGGCTCCGCCCCACTCCTGCCTCCTCACCGGGGCGCCGCTCCCCACTGGGGCCGTTCAGGCGCCAATGGCGCCAAACGCCTCCTCTTGCATCCCGTGCCTGATCCTGGCGATCCTGCTGGCCTCCCGCCTGGCCTCCGGCGCGGAGCGCATCGCCTCGAGCGCGCCAAGCGCCTGGGTGGCGAACCTGGATCACGATGCCCACCGCAATCCCATGGCGAGGCTGGCCGTCGAGTCGACCACAGTGGAACCGATTGGTGGGCTGGCGGTGGAGGCCAACGCGAGCCGCATCGTGGCGTCCGGGCAGGTCGTGGAGGTCCGATTCTGCTGCGTGGCAGATCCCGCGGAGGACGATTTCGTGGCGGTCTACGCGCCGGCGGACGCGGACCCCAGCGAGACGGCGCCCGTGAAGATGCGGCCGGCTGCGGAGGACGGGGGGTACCTGGCGACGGGGTCGGGAACGCTGAGGTGGGTGGGTGTGGCCGTGTTCTGTTCTTCTGAAGTCGCTGGATGAGAAAGATTTCCTGCATGTGATGTTGCGACAAAGATGTGCATGTCACCACCCGTGCTATATCCGCAATACACGACCCATCCAAAATATCGTGGCCACGTCCAGGGCCGCCCATGTTGAAGACGCTGGAGGAGATTGTGTGTATGTGTGGTGGTGGTGGGTGGGTGGTGGGTGGTGGGTGGGGTGGGGGGGGGGCATTGTGGAAGGCGGGATTATTCGCGAAGAATGGTGCGCTGCGCGATTGCCGGGGCAATCCTGGGCCAGATTGGTGTGGGAATCTTTTCCGCGCTGTGGAAGTTCATGCTTGCGGGTTGGTGCTTATGGAGTTGTGTCCAGAGGCATGTCCATCGTATTTTCATGTGTCGGGTCGGATGCTATGGAGCAATGTTCAGAGATTGTGGAGCGGTACAGGAGCGGGCAATGGTTGTTGTTTTGAGTGGCTTTGGGATGCAGTTAGATGTGGGTATAGGTAGGAGGAAGCCTGATGTGTTGCTGCTATGTTTCTCGGATACAATTTTCCTTTCTCTGCGCATTTGCTGACTCTTGTTCGTGTTTAATGTCGTGTTCAGCCTCGCCAGTTTGTGGTAGAATTGTATAAGGAGACCGGCTGCACACCAAGGGGAATGATTTATAGTGCTCATGTATAAGATGTATCATGGACAGTAAGAATGATATTCGAAGTGATAATCAAATTGCTTATAATCGCAATCATCACGGATATCAAATCATGCAACTTTGCACTTGGAATCTTGTTTATGTCCTTGTCGATTGTCATAGCTTTACGGTCCCTTCTGTTGACACCCAGTGTGGATATTCATTATATTATTATCATACATCACTGCAACAGATCGAATTGAATCTTTCGAAAAGCATCAAGATTGAAAGATCTTTCAGGACGAGTAATTTCACCCAGACAGAAGATTTGGTAACACATGAATTTGAATTTTATTGGCGAATTAGTAAATCAGCTGATTGGTAATTAGGTAATCGATTGATTAGTTAGTTAATTAATTCATAAATAAACCAATGCTCACCGTATTGGCTACACGCTGTCCACAATATTATTCTCAATCAACAACCTCCACCACACTTTATTCATCAGCATCCTCTTGCTTGCCTTTTGCTGACTTCCCCTTGTCTCGATTGTGAATGTGCCCCAAACCTCAAATGAAACTACTAGAAGGAGTTGCTTTCACTAACTGCATAGGAGATCGGTATATTTTCCTCTTCTTAACCATCCTATTCTTGATCTTCAAAGGTGTGTTCTGATCGGCCTCTTCCAGGACCAAAGTCCCTGAATTTTGCAAACGTTGTTCTTATTCATGAACATAGTTGCTCTGCATGCCTGGATGATTGATCTGCTGGGTGTGCAGGTTTCAGCTCTTTAATCACCGCACCGATGTGCGATTCGCATTCTTGAAGGGGGGCTGGAATCAACCCACGGTTGTAGCGTGGGGCCCTGAGGTGGGGGTGGAGAACGTCAACGAGCCCTTGCAGGGTCACCTGCACCTAACCGGAGATAACACGTGAGTGTACTTGTTGCTGGTTGCGCAATTTCCATGTGCTTCTTATGCCTATCTCTTGCATATTTAGGCACTACAGCAGCTTGCTTTGCCATCTGCAACTGCATTGGAAGCTGCTCCTGCCAGTGGACAAGAGCGGTCTGCCATCAAAGCAGGCTGCCAACACAACTCGCTTGGTTCTCGATTGTTTCCCATTTGCTCTGTTGGTGTGCTTTGCCTTTTCTCTTTTGCTCTGCCCTCCTCTTGTAGTAATAATGACCTATTGCCTGCTTTTCTCCATTGCATGTCTTCTTCCACTGTTCCAGCCAATCTCTGCAGGGCACTGACGCCAGGATCGTCGTTGTGACGTTCAGGGAGATGCTGGTGCAGTGGGTGACAAAAGACCAGGGCTCCCCTGTGGTCAAATGGGGCACGAGCCCTGGAGATCACAAGTTCCAAGCCTCTGCCAAGACCACAACCTACACGAGGGACGAAATGTGTGGTGGACATGCGGCAACGGTGAGCAGCCCAATTGTTGCATGTCCACATCGCACCAACCAGCTCATCGCTTGTCGGTGGTTGTCTTCAGTGACTGGCTTGCAAGTTTCGGCACTGCAACATGGGCCCTCTGGCCAAAAGTGTCAGGAACTAGGAACTGGAAGTTGGACTGCCGTGATTTCGAACCAAAGCAGCCAGTGGGTGTCTGTCTGGCTGTTAATGTACCTCGCTGTCGAATGTCCCAGGTCGGGTGGATCGACCCAGGTCTCTTCCATGCAGCCGTCATGACGGGGCTGAAGCCAGGGAGGAGGTACTACTACATCTACGGCGACGAGGTGCAGCATTCTGGGCTTCATTAACGCGGTGTTTGCTGCACATACAGAGAACTATTGCCATGCCCTTTGATACATTGAAATAGATAGGTGGAATGAGCAGATGAATTGTATGGTTGTTACAGACCAAATAAGCAAAAAAGATCACTGGATTACTGCAGCATCACGCCAGCATAACATTGCCGTGTGTTGTTAGGTGTCATCCAATTAATACACTGTGATACATTCAACCCTTCCGCATAGTAACGTAACGCTGGGCCCATTTTCATGGAGTCGGTGAATAGAAAAATAACGGTGCCGGTTGGAAATGCGGAGCAGCCGAATTTACTCACGCTCTGGGCGCGGCTTCTGCACGAGCTGGCCCCAGCACCTGGCAGGTCCCTGGGAGATTGATTGGGAGACCTGGCGGGAAGCGATCGCAGGCACATGCCAGCGCCATCGCGGACTGGACTTGCAGCCGATCGCGTCGCCGGCTCGCCACCGATTGGACAGGCGCTGGGCAGGCGCGAAGGCCCGCCCCGCCCTGCGCCATCCTCTCTGCGCGCCCCGCCATCCGGGGCTCGATCCCCCGCCGCTGGCCCGGTACACCCCGCCTTGCGAGGCGCAAGTTCTGCCATGCTTGTGCAGTGCTTCGCGCCCACATACTCACCTCCGTTTCCTCGTCCGCTGACTCGCTGGGCGGCCCGCTGTCCAGCTGCGCCTCTCCACGCACGTCGCTGGGACTCTTGGGACCCGTCCCCATAGCCGCGCGGCTGGTGTCGCACGGTGCCCGTACATACAAGGCTTGTGACTGGTCCGCACCTGAAACTTGGGATACAGCCTCGAGAGCCCCCCGAGACACGATGAGCCAATAAAAAATAAACGGTCGGGGAAGAAAATGGCGAGCGGAAACGTAACGGTGAGCAAGGGCTGAAATGTTGCACTAGTTCGCAGTAGCATAGTTTAGATTCAATAATGATGAATAGGGAGAACGATGCTGCCATGTAGAGGAGCATTCATGGTTGCCGAATGGAATGCATGCAAATGCATGCAAATGCATTTCAAAACTGGTTGCCTATCAGGACCAAACGGGCTGCAAAATAGTGGACTGGTGGATAGTGAGGCCATGTGCAAGGAGCAGCTGCATGCCATTCTTGTTCTTGCTGCTTGCATTCATTTGCTTGCATTGAAAACTGATTACTCAGCATTACGCTTTCACTTGTAAAATACGTGGATTTAACGATTTTACGTTATACTTCCTCTGTCCGGAATTAGTTGTCCTCTATTTGACAGAACAAATTCGTTACAAAAGACACCTTAAGTTTACAAAAGAACATCAGAATCGGAAAGATTGGGTTGCAAAACCCTTGACTACCAATTTTCAAGAAAAAAAGTTAGTCCCACCCCTTTAGGATCGCCCCCCAAATTGGCCGAAAATCGTCCAAAAATTGTGCGTGCATATGCCGCATCCACTAGAGATCTGCACGTTTCTGGTTCACTCCCGTTCTTGGTGCTCCAAAGACAAGTCGTTGTTGTCCTTGCGGTGAAGGGTGGTGTCCCTTACGTGGAACAGCGCTTGTCAAACACGCTCAAGCGTGTTTGGATCCCCATCGTGGAAGGCCATCATCGCAGTTCTGACGATTTCTGAGATCTCAGCCATCGTCGATCTTTGACGTACGAACGTAAAGCAAGCGGACAATGTTAGGGTCCAAGGTATTAGAGCTTGGGCTATGTGCGAGCTATTGTTCCAAGATTATGCAATGGACGTGCTTGGACAATCTGCCTCGATTGAGGTTTGAATCGTTGCTTTTGTGGGCAGCCTGGCCCACACCCCACAAACTGCCCCAATCTGCCAATTCTTGCATGCAATCCACAATCCATCGCAGCCCAGCAAGTGCATTTCCCTTTGAGAGACATAATTTTACCCACCTAGCTGGTGTTCTCAAGCTCAAGCCCTTCAAGTGCCGAAAAATGGTCGATTCACCATTCCTATCCAGGAGGGCCACTGCCTAATTGCTCCCTAATTGTCCGCCACTGAATGGGGTGATGCCCACCACCTTCCTAAAAAGGTTTGTGAACAATTTGGGAGGCCTCTTGTAGTATCCCTCGTAGTGGAGTTGGAGGTCCAAAAGTCGTGGTCTAGAAATCTGAACCTGATGGGCATCTCTGATTTGGCCAATCAAGCTCGAATTTCAGCCACAAGACATGGCGACTTCCACGATCAGGACTTTCAAAACGCATTTTCTGTTGCCCTTCTCCTTTGCAAGCACCTCCATGATCTTTTGTCCAAACGGCATGGATAGTTTTGCCTGGGCGGCTCTGTAGCGCTGCCGCAAAGGCGTTCTCCTCGAAACAGTGAAAATGGCCATTCCAGCAGGGATGGTAAAAAATTGGTGGGTTTCTGGCTGGATGACCCCGGCTACAAAGTGCTGCCAAATCTGCAGTACTCAACAGATTGACTTGAAATTTTGATTGCATACTCTTAAAACATAGGCGCAGCTTTGCAAGAAATTTGAATGAGAAATAAAGTGTCTGTGATAGAGAAGTAAGGCACCAACGTCGTAGAGGACAATTAATTCCGGACGGAGGAAGTATAAATATCAGCATAGAATGTTGTTTCGAGTTAGTTTGGTGTTGTGTTCAAATCAGAAGCACTTGCTTTAGGAGGACGACAACATCTCCAACAGGCATGATAAAAAAAAGCATTCATAATAGTTGTGCAAGCATTGCTTGACAGGACAAAAGCTAACATTCTAAGCTATGTTTTGGCGCGATTACCATCATTAGACAGCCTATTTTTTGGTGGTGGTGGTGGTGGTGGTGGTGGTGGTGAGGTGAGTGGGTTGGTGGGCGGCAACAGTTTCCAGGAGCAAATAGCAATCAACATAAACATTTAATGCATTGGGGCAGCTTTGGGGCAGAAACCTCACTGAACATATGAGTAAATGCACAAATGATACATAAAGATTCGGCGAATGAATGCATGCACAGTGTGCAGAAAATGTCGGTTTGGCTTGTGTTCAGGTCTATGGCTTCAGTGAGGAGAGGTCCTTTGTGGCTGCCCCAACGGTAGGCCCACAGACGAGTGTCAACATTTTGGCCATCGCTGATTTGGGCCAATCCGAGGAGGACGGCTCCACAGAGCCCTTCCAGTACACCGCCTCGCTCAACACCACCAAGTGGTTGGCCCAAGAGCTTGCCGAAAAGGAATACCAGCTGCTTGTGCACAACGGCGACATCAGCTACGCAATGTGAGTTGAGCCTTGGTGGGAATTCTGACGAATGATCACATGTGGGGGCCATGCTGTTAATGCCTGTTTATTCCTGCCTGGAGATGCGTGGCTATGGTTTCAATGCACTCTGGCTATACCGGAAAAGTGTGCTGCCCTTTGCGGTCGAAGGATGCAAAGGCTTTTGAAAGCTCCGTGCGTCGATAGTGTCAAATTCGAATTGTAAAGTCGAAACCTGATATTATTTAGGAAAGAGTAATATTTTAAATGCATAGTTCTATTGTAAATGGACGGCTTTGAAAGTAGCAAAAAATTAGTTTGCTTGAACTCGAACTTTTGGCCTCTGAAACAGCAGTCTTCTGAGTTTTGACTGCACTATTCTGTGCACCGCCGTCACAGGGGTTTCGTCCCCCAGTGGGATCATTACTTCGAGCAGATCAAGCCCATCGTTACTCGAGTGCCCTACATGGTGGGTGCTGTATCCAGATTTCACGTCATTTTGCACAGTGGCGTTGCATTCGTGTTTTGCGAGAATGTGCTGGCTTGTGGCATTACACACCCGCTACTGCCAAATCTGTTGCCAAGGGCTCTGCTGCGCTGTGTGCAACAGACCCATTCCCAAATAGTTCAAACAGCAGCGGAGGTGTGTGTGTCACAACATGTGCTTTGTGGTTTGTGGTTGCTTGGTGGCTTCCTCTTCTTTGACAGTTGAATCAGTTCTGCCAATGCTCGGTTCACGTACCAATTGACATGTGATACATTGATAATTAATTAACGTATGATGTTCCCATCGAAGTGCGTCAAATTCAGAACGAGCAGACAGCGGTGCCCCACTGGAAACCGCTCGCGCTGTCTGGTCCCTTATTTCCTCCCCTCTTTGATCAGCCAAATTAATAATAATTGTTATTGCCGTTTTGGCCATTCTTTCGATACGCACTTTATCATCCAGTCCTCGATTGCTGCACCCAAACACATCGGATCAGCTTGGCGCCAGTCGCTTATCCGTTCTCCTGGTGCTTGTCTTCTGCCCGCTCCCCACAGACCACGCCAGGCAACCACGAGCGCGATTGGCCGCACTCGGGCGACCGCTTCAACACGGTGGATGATTCTGGTGGTGAGTGCGGCATTGCGTACAGCAGGCGCTGCAACATGCCCCTGGGGCCCTACGCCGACGCCTGGTACTCCTTCGACTTTGGGCCCATACACTTCCTGCAGTATTCGACCGAACACGAGTTCGAACCAGATTCACCTCAGTACCGGTGAGTCTGTGGCGGAATCTGCACCATGGCATGGCAGATTGTAATGCATCTACTGTTGGTATGTTACTGTTATTCATGACTATCACTAACAGTAGCTGCCACTATGTCGTAGTTGGGAGCTTGGTAGAAAACTTGGTGCGCATTAGTATTAAAATACTAAAAAATATACCTAAAACTATGCTAAAAATAACATCAAATTATGTTGTCCAATTAGCCTGACAGGGTACATTGGCTTTTTGGAATTTGTGGGCTAATTTGCGTTGATTCCTTATTCACTTTGGGCGCAAATTTCCTTATTGCTTTTGGATAATAATGGTTTTCAACAATTATATGGTTATGCTTTGGTAGTCTACGACAGACAGTGATCCTGCTTCTTATAGTATCGCATCAACTAGTGTATTGAATGCTCATACGCTTAACTTATGCACGTACTTCCGTTGCTTCTACCTCCCTGTGTGCTTTCTTTTCATCGCAATTCTGCTATGCCGCTGACCTTCAAGCCGTTGGAGGAAGTCCAATTGGACAAGATACAGTACCTTCGTGATTAAGGAGGAGTTGCACTTGTGCTGTTCAAGTTTCCAATACGAGAAGATGTAGCGTTGATGCCCACTGCGCTTTTTTACCAATCGCTGTGCTTCTCTGATCATTTAGTGTTTGCTTTGTGTTGGACATGTAGGTTCATCGAGGAAGATCTTGCATCGATTGACAGATCCGTGACCCCATGGGTCATTGTGGGTGGGCACCGGCCCATCTACGTCAGTTCCACGTATTCCAATTGGCCCGATGGTGACCTGGACGTCTCAGAGGCGCTGAAACTCGCTCTGGAACCTCTGTTTTACAAGTATAAGGTACGCTGCGTCTGTACAAAGCAGGAAAGTAGATGTGGCCATGTCGTTTTTTATTCGATTCCAAGCTGTGGTACTGCCTTTCTATCCCAGCTTCTTTGGATTTATCTGCTTTTGTTTCTTTTCTCCTTTCAATATCCTTTTCCTCTTCCCTTCATTTTCTTGTGGTTGGAACTGAAGTGAATGGCAACTGCCTACCTGTCTGACCGGCCCTGTGCAACTGTGCCCAGGTGGATCTCACATGGCATGGACACCACCACAGCTACCAGCGCACTTGCCCCGTCTTCGGGGACTCCTGCCTCGGGTACAGGGAGGACGGCACCGCCAGGGGGCCCGTCCACTTGGTCATTGGGCATGCAGGGGCTCACCTGAGCAGGAATATTCAGCCGATCCAGCCCCCCTACTTTGAGGTGCGCAACACCGCCCAGTGAATAATCTCGTTGATCACATTCGGCAAGATGGGAATATATTAGTCCCTCTGTCTTCTGCGTGAAGATCCCTTCTTCTTCCGACGGCATAGGGTTTAGGGTGCCGAAGAAAGAAGGCATCTTCACGGAAAAGACAGAGCGATCAATGTCGTGCCCAGCAAGATGAGCTACAGCGTTTATGGTCCTATTATCAAGCGGGCAGTGTCAGGCACACACAGACTGCATTGAATGGCAGACTGACGGACTTCAGGGAGTTCCCCTGGCAAGCTGTGTGTTACACTCATGGGCACGGTTCAGCCTGGGTTTGCTGTTCATCGCATCACCATGAAAGGCACGTCTTCAATGTTCCTCTTGGCATGAAGCAGTTAAAGATATGTTTGCGGACGGCGTGGTACAACACAGTGGTCATGCTATTTGTCTCTGCATCATGACAAATTCATCTCAAATTCGGCAAAACACATTCGAGGCTCATGCCAACATGCACAACAACGTGGAGCAGTGGGCTGCACCCTAATGACCCACTGTGGTTTATCGCGGACGATGATCGCTCATGCACGACTTTGCGCCAATTTCCGCTGGGGAAGCCGTTCACTGCAAAGGAAGGGTAGTGGGCTCTGTTGCCTCGAGTCTTTCACAAGGTAATTCAAATCTGTTGTGACGTGCTTTGCACAATGTACCACAGCAAGGGCCCCAGGGTAACACAAGGTGGACACAAAGTGTGAATGCAGAGGGTATGCAAAAAAAATGAATGAATGAATGAATGATAATGAATACGGAGGGTGGTAGTAGCAGAACAAATTGCTGAGCCCAAAAAATTCGCTTGTCCCAAGGGGAATGGATGAGCTTCCATTAAACAACAGGCTCAGAACTAAGTGCTGAATTCTGGCAACAACAACGGCCTCTGTTTTGGAACTGAGAATCTGCCGCGGCTCCAATTCTAGCACACTAACTCATTTGCTCTTTCTGGCCATGGAAAGGAGCCATGTGTATTTGTGTTGATTGGGTTGCAGTGCAACCGTTGCACCGTTGTCATTTTCCTTTGGGCACCATAACCCTGCCGATGGAACTTCTGGCCTTTGCCATGCTTGTCAGACTTATCAGGCTGGCTTGCGCATCGTTCAAGGTGCCCAGTAGCCCGCTTCGTCTGCAAATTTGCTGCTTTGGATACGTTTAACACACCAATCAGACTGATTCATGGACGATCAGACATTTTTGGATTGAGTCCAGACTCCGACTGCATGACGCCTCGGCGCGCATGGCTGTGGCTCCGCGCTCAAGCGCTTGTGTGCATTGACTTGCCCATTGCGCAGAGAGTCGTCGTGCACCACGGCTACTCGCGGGTGTTCTGCTTGTGCCTGTGCAGAAGGGACATGGAACCTGTTGACCATTGACACCACTACATGGATCTGGCAATGGAATTTGTGCCCTTTGTTCTTGGCTGTCCAATTTGCTGGGCTCTCTTGGGCAAATTGGGGGTGCTAAATGACCTGTCTCTTTCTGCAAAGTTGCTTTTTCGGTGCACTGATGCATCAGCCAATCATGCTTTCGACTGCTGTGACCTTGACATGCAAAACCGTGGCTCCACGCTCATGTGCTTCGGTTTGACAACTTGGCGATTGTGCAGAGAGTCGTCTTGGACCATGGCTACTCGCGGGTGTTTGCGAATGGCACATACCTCAACATGGAAGTCCTGTACGATGAGGACCAGTCGCTTATGGACACCGTTACACTCGTGAAGCCGGCTGGATGGGAGGCGGCATGGCCCGCGATCGAGGGCCCGTTGGCTGGCGCTGGCACCATCCGAGGGAAGGCACAATCCCTGCCTAGTGCGTCCGTCGAGGTTTAGCAAAGGCCGCCGATTCAGCGGGACTGAACAATTGTGGGGGCTGTACATTGGTAGATTGTAGGCCGGAAGGAAAACGTATGAATGTGCTGCCAATTGTATTTGTAGATCGATTGTAGACGGAAAAAGTGGCAGGTCTAGGATATAGGAAGCCCCACATCCTTGCCCATATCTTGGATATCGACCAGGATATGGTAGGGATATTCATGTCCAAGATGTGGGATTGCCATGTCAACGGCATGGCAAGGATATGAGCTGGCGAAATCCAGGCTATCACGAGGATATGGCCATATTCAGGATATGGGCCGTCCGTATGCGAGATGTTGAGCAGCGTATCCTGGACGTCGACGGGATATGGAGACGGAGAGAGGGCCAGGTCCACGCAAATACAACGATCGTCGATCTCACGCTTCGACCTCCAGCAATTTGGCTCAGTTTTCCTCCCGTGAACGTTCTCCTTGCATTCCAATTGGAATCTGATTGCAATCAGCGCTGCTCAAGCGAGATGGTTCGTCCTCATACTTCTCTTCACACAGAATAAGCGTTGCCGTTGTACAACGACAGTCGGACGACGACGTTGTACGACGACATGTCGTCGTCGGGCTGGCGAAGTCGTTGCCATCAAACTGCTGCCAAATGCATGCGGCACAGGGTGTGAACAGGAAGAGATCGGGCAGGGCCGCGCGGCATCCACCTTTGTATCCTTGGCCGCGGTGATGCTGTGGACGTTCACGTTGACGGGCAGCAACTACTGTTCATGACCGCCTCTTGCGGCTTCATTCGGCCAACTTCTCACCGGATTCCACGACACAACAAAATTCGACGTGGTGACAAAACTACGGCTTCAATACCTGCTGCCGGTCCGAGCCAGATTCATTTAACAAGGCAGATTCTTGTATCACAGAGGATCTGCAATGCTGGGCACCACGTTTCACGCTGTTCTTCGATTTGTTTGTTGGCCTGCTGAGCGAGATGACTTCTGTTGGCAGTGGCTTCCGCTCTCGCGAGTGGAACCGGCACTCGCGGTCCGACACAACAGGGTCTTGCGCCCCGCTCTGACGGCTGGTGCGATTCGATAGCCACTCCATGTCCAAGTCAGCGCGACCACAAAGCCTGGCGAGGGTGCGAGCACTAACTGTCAGTCGCGCAGCCGATTTCTGCAGACAATGGCAAACAGGCGAAGGACTCCGCAGCCAGGCCAATGGCACTGCGCCAGGCGACAGAGATGTGCGCTCATTTTCGTTCCGCCCGAGGAAACAAATCCCTTTTACAATTGTGTGCCTTGTTGGAGCATTTCACCGCCAAGCCCCCCCCCCTCCAAGAAAAGGAAACAATCCAAATAAAAAAGCTCCATAAATTATTTAGCTAATAGCTAGGCCTTGTCACCGGGTCCTCATTCCTGAGAACACATTCTTCGCGACTGGCAATACACATACTGTCACAGTTTCCCTGGAGCCCCATCTGCCTGTGCAGTCACGTCACACCCTATATTCAAGTGGAGAATTAATCAACAGTACTAGGTCAAATAAAAGCGCCCGGACTCCCGACTAGGCAGCCGTTTGGTGTACACGAAAGGCCCCATACCCTTGTCAGATCCATAGAAAATTGTAGCACAGGGCACGGGCACGCCGATCGACCATGCCAACAAAAATTTGTGCTCTCTAAGGTGCCTGCAATAACCTTGCAAGATCCGCACACGAGCAAGCACCAACCACACGAGCCATCGAGCTGCAAAACCACTACCCTATTGCACATTGAAGGTCTACTGGGCGAAAAGCGCACAACCTACATCCCAAAACGCAAGCATGCAGGCAATGCCTGTGTACCCCCTGCACTGGCCGAAACTACTCATTCAATCCATGGCAGTCGATGCCCACCTCCAAAGAGCATGAACAGCCACCCAGCTTCCAGAAGCCCATGGGGCATTTCCTCCCTCAAAAGATCAAAAAGTATCCCTGGCCCAAGTCAATTGGGGCGGCCCCTCTTCCACCCAACAACCGCAGGGGAACGCACATGGCACTGGGTGCATCCTGAGGCCTGCGAATCACTGGGGCCCTCGTCAGCCCAGGCTCAGCCCTGTGTTCCTGATGACACTAGTTGAGCATAGGCACACGCCTCGAGGAGGACGGGTGCATAAACACACGCAAGGCTGTCTTCCCAGCTGAGCTGCTGCACATCGCGATGTTGCAACTGTGGATATGCTTGCAGACGTGAGTTGGTGTCCTCAAGATGATCCAATGCCCCAGACTGTGAGCCTCTGCACTCTGTGCCCGTCTCTTGGCCTGCGAGTGCCTCCCCTCGTCCATGCCAGGACTCCCACAACCGCCCTCTCGCCAGGCCCCAAGGTCCCTCCACAGGCTCCACGATACGTCAAGAGTTAGCAATTTCTGGGTCGGGTATCCACAGTGGTGCCCACATCGAAAACACATGCCACCGCCGGCGAGGCCCAGCCTCCGCTGCGACGGCTGGCTTGTGGTGAAGGTGCAACGACCGGATGCGTGCGTCGCTTGGGGTCAATGTCGGGGTGCGGTGGCGCCCTGCGCGGCGCCGTGCCTCTCCGGCTCGGCGGCGGATACCCCCTTGAAAATTCAACAAAGCCACAGGCGCCGCCAAACAGCCGCCCGCCCGCGCGCCTCACCACTCCTTATTGCACTCGCGCTCCCTGCATCGCGGCGGGCGCGCGCCTGTGGCCGTCCCCGGCTCTCCCCGCGAGCCACCGGGCCTTCAAAATCCCCTCTCCGCCGTCCAGCAGTCCGTCCGGCCGCCGATCGGGATGGGCCCCGCGCCGTCGGCGCGCGGCCTTATTCTCCCTCCGTCCGAACCTCCCGCCGCCGCCCGCATCCCCTCAGGACCCGCAAAGTCGCTCCGACGCCACCGCCACGTCGCCGGATCCCGACCCAGATCTTCCCCTGCTCGTCCTCACAATCCAGGATCCAAATCCTCGCGGATCCAGCTTCGGCCTGCCCTGGCCCTCCCCCTCCCCTCCCCCCCGCCGCGCCGGATCGCCCATCCCGATGCTGGGCACAGACGCCATGCCGCGATCGGCGCGTCCGGACGGTGACGCCTGCCGCAGGACATCCCTGACTCCAGCCAGCTCGCCCCTCAGCCGCTCCAGCCGGCCGTCGATTTCGGAAGACGAGATTTTCTCAACCGCCGGGCGCATCTCATTAACCTGCAGACCGACGCGCCGCAGGCCATGCCGCCACCGGGCCGCGCGTTCCCGAACGAGTGCCGCCTCCGAAGAGCATGTCCCCCGATCGCTGGCCAGCCGCTCGTTTTCCGCGCGATGGAAGGCGACCTCCTCCCTCAGCGCCACCACCTGCAGCTTGCACGACTCCAGCTGCGACGCGCACTCCGCCAGCCCGCCCTCCGCCGCCTCGCTCTGCGCCCGGCACGCCACCACCTCCGACTTCAGGCCCGCGATCTTCGCCGCGACTTGGCGCATGCTGTCCCCCCGCGACACCCCCAGGACCGACCGGACCGGCCCCAGCTTGGTCTCCGCGGCCATGAGCGCGTCCTCGAACGCGCCCCCGGCCCTCCCGCACCCGCAGCACGTCCCCTCGCGGCCGGCCGACATCTCGTTGATCCGCTCCTTGGCGTCTCCCAGCTCGGTCCGCAGCCGGTGGATCTCCCTCAGCAGCGCGCGGCTGTCCTGTTATGCACCCTCGTTTCAACACGGCTGCCTCACTCATCCTCGTCTGATCTGCGCGCCCGGCCCCATCGTACCAAACTGCGAGCACGTCGTCCAAATCCGCGCTGCCGCGCACGCCCATGACGCTCTTCACGTCGGACACCCAGTTCTGGTCGGCCCGCACCCGCCCCTGGGCGGTCTTCATCCGCTCCACAACCCGCTTGAACTCCTTGCTGTACAGCGCCAGCTGCCGCCGCAGCGTGCGGTTCTCACTCTCGATCGCCTGGCTCTTGACCAGCACGTTCTGCAGAATCCTGTCCCGCACGTAGCCCTCCTCGGACTCCTCCGATCCCACCTCGCTGGCCGCCTCGCCGTCCGCCCAGCCCTCGATCGAGCCCCGACGCTCGGGCCCGCTGCCTAGCCTTCTCGCCGGCTTCGGCCCGCCGGCATGGATCCAGTAGGCGCGCTCCGCGCCGGAAGGGCCGTGAAACTGCAGGAAAAGGGCGGAAAGGGGGACGAGGGCTGTCAGCACGGGCAATCCTGCGCGCATCCGGCAAAGGCAAACCCGGGGCACGCCACACGGAGCACGGGGCAAGGGTCCCTGGCCGCGGAAATCGCCGAGCACTCCCTCGGCAGTCCCCGGGACCATCTGCCCCTCCCTGCTCCGCGCAGAAACGCCCATCCGCCGAGCTGCACGCGGCGGCCGGTCGCCGGGACCGGCGCCGGCGATCGGATGACCGAACCCCCAAAACCCCAGCCGGCCCCTGCGGCCGGGCGGGGGCCATCGTCCCCGCGGCCAGGTTTTCTGACGCGCACCGCGCAGCGCCGGTCACGGGAGTCCAGCGCACCCGAAAGCGAGGTCGGGGGCGGCGATCGAGCGGGATGCCCATCGGGGCCCTCACCTCTGATTCCGGCTTGTCAGACAGGGCGTCCTCGCCCACTGGGCGGCCCTTCCACTGCCCCAGGCCCAGGCGCCGCCGCCAGCCGTCCGTAAAGTCGTACACGGGCCGCAGAACGGACCCAACGTCCGCCGCCATGGGCAGGCGCGTCCGTTTGTGTTTGGCTCGCTCGCCCGCTCGCTCGCGCTCCGCGTCCAGAAAAAGCAACAGAGGTTGCGGGCGCACGCCCGGCCCCTCGCTGAAGGGATGCCTCGGCCGCGGGCAATCTACTGGATCCGTAGACACCCGCGGGTGACTGTACCGACGAGCCTTTACTTTGGGCCACGCCGCTGGACAGGGTGGTGTGCTCCAGGCCAAGCAGGTGCCCTGCCAAAATGCGTATCCGCACTACTAATTCGGCTGTCTCGATGCCCAACAGGGCCTCCGTGTTTGGTTGCTCTGGCGGCTGGGCCTGCCGCCTTTTATGCCCCGCCCCCAGGGGGAGAATATTTCTGCGGGTGGCGTCCGGGTTCGCTGCGAAGTGTGACGCGTACATGCGTTACGGGGGGGTCAAGGCACAGCAAATCGTACTTCTTCAACCTCGCGGTCCCGCGGCCCGCAACGTGGGCCAACCCCGCGGCGCCAGGTCGGGCCACTTCCCGGAAATTCACCCAAAGGGTGGTCACGGGCACGAGGGGCGACCGTTACTGGGGAACGACGGTGTTACGACGTTACAGCGGATCTCCTAATGCCGACAGTTGTGAGGGGGGTGGCCCCTTTGGCGCCTTGGGTGCACCCGTCGTTGCGGAACGTTGGCGTTACAACGTTACAGCGTATCTCGTGATGTCGACAGGGGTGAGGGCGGGCGGCTGGGCGCTGTGGTCGCACTGCGTGGTGCACAGATCCGCGTCGGGCCCGTCGCACGCGGCTGTCAGACGAGGGGCGTCTTCAATAAGTCTCGACAGGACTTGCATGGAAGTGTTGACTTACGTGCTAAATACGGCGCATACGAGGAAAATACGGTAACCGCGCGTCGGTGCTACAGGCAGTGTTTCCACAATGCACACAGAGGAACTCGTTGCGCCCTCAAAATGTCACGACGGCCGTGGCATCAGCTTCTCTTTGTCCTCCTTTGGCGACATTGCTCATCGTCAGTTGCAAAGGAGGCGTTGCACCGTCACGGCACCAGATCAGTGCAAGATTAGCAGGATATGCCATCAGACGTGAAGGACAAGCCTTGTCCATCTTCGTGGCATTGCGTTCTCAAAAAGGTTGTTGAAGGCAAAAGAATGAGTCACAGTTCATTGCCAGTTTGAGTATGGCAATCAAGGATAGAACGTCACAAGATAACAACAAATCACAGCCACTCTTTCAATAACGTTCAACTTGGTCAGATTTCACTCAGTAGAGCTCAGGACACTTTGTAAAACGCTGCGGAAGGGAGGCGCTGTTCGTCGAATTACCCACAAGTAGTTGAAGCCGTTTTCTGAATCTGTAGTAACACGGGGAAGGACGACCAAAAGCCAGTAATGCAATGATTGAAAATCACTCTGATAAAGATTGAAAATCACTCTGAGGAAGATTGAAACGGTTGCGCTTATAGCTTGACCCTCTCCGAATTCAGCTGGCATTCCTGACAAAATGTTGTGCGTGAGTTTACTACATTAGCTACCAGCGATTGCCACTCACGACAAGGCACTGAGAATATGCACGAAACAGCGTGCAGCCAGAAGATTTGTTTTACAGAGAAACCTTGCAAAGGATGATTTCGTCACATGGATGTGACCCGAGTTGCACACTCCTGCTGATGTATGCTGCGCTTGAAACTATGCTCCTAGCACAGCTGGATGCAAGCTGCAGTATGTGATGGAGGAGCCAGAAACTTGGTTGCACAGGCAGGCTTTCGAATTTCCCAAATTCCCATATCGCCTGTGGTCGAGTGCACAGCCAGCGCAACGATGGGCACTTGGCTGGCTGAGACTGGGCGACAAAAATGAGTGACAGGCCACCACAGAACCTTCAGGAACTTCGTCAATCGCCAGCTGCAGTCAGCTTGGTGGGTAGGAGTCTAGTTTGGCCAAAGTCACGTATCGAAGTTCCACTGCATCTAGCTCTTCTCCTGGGGTCTTTGATATCAAAAGGAAGTTTACCAATGGTGCTGCCTTCACTACTTTGGGGATTTGAGCATTCGTGGACACTTTCATACACAGAGGACACTGTGAGGCAGAGCAATAGTAGGGTGGCCATGATGGAAGGAGCCTCATGGAGATCACCGATTTTATGAAGGAACTATTCCCAGCGCTGTGCATTCGGCAAAACATTGCCCATCCACCGCTTCCGGCTGCGTTTGGCAGTCTCAGCGGACAAACGGTGTGCTGGCTCCGCAAACCATGCTCAAACAACGGGTAGGCAGATGGCGCAGTCTGGGCGGCCTTTCACCGCCACTGTTCGCCCACTTCCGGCGCTCCGCAAGAGCGGAAAGGGAACTCTCCTATGTTACACATCCACACATAGCTATACAGCACAAAGGCAGCGGTTCGTTCGCCAGTTCCTTCGGCCAGTCCCTTTCGCCTGGCCGCCGTTGCGACTGACGTCTCAAATCGCCTCCGAATCGGCAATCTCCAGCATCCCGTCGCAACCCCCTCAGCCCACATGCACTCCGGGGGGCGAACCTCGCGAGCCCCCCGGTCTGTGCACACTGGCAAACACGCGGCTCGTGCGCCCTGACCTATTCCTAGACCGACCGAGCCCGCCCTAAATATATGTTCTGAACGCGGCGGGCCTGGCCGCAAAACTGGTGCACGGCCCATCCAGCCGCGCCCACGCGCCCATGCACACTCCGTGCCGTTCTGGTCCGCGCTTTTCTCCCTTACCCTCCAGCCTCTGCACGCGCGGGCACCCCAAAAAATCACACCCTTTTGACACCTATGCGAGCGCGTCAATGAGACGCGCGTGGTCGCGGTCTGCCGGCCACGGTCCCCGAAAATCGGCACCTCCCCCAAAAGAATTGCCCGGAAACGATTGCACGACCAATGGGTGCGATGGCCAACGGGCGAGCGAGGTGGTCCGCAGCACGTCCCCAGAGCGCGCCGTCGCCCTGGCGCCACCCCACGCCGCCCCTCACGTCCTCCAACACCAACCGAGCCACCTCCCGCATTTGCTTCGCTGCAAAAATCCAGTCAGATTTTGGCCTCGAGGTCGTGTTTTCCGCCTTGCCGCGGGCCGACCCGTCAGTCAGGTCAGTGGGTCAGTTGCCTGCCATTTCGTCGTCGCTCGCCTCGCCCTTCTTCCGGAGTAGGGACAGGACGACTTCCTCCTCGGTCACCGTCTGCGGGGGGGACGCAACAATGGCCAAGGCGCAATGAGCGGAGCGAGCAACACAAACCGAAGCAAAGGGTGAAATAACTCGGGGCTTGGTGAACAAGAATTGTTGAAGGTGCAGGACAACTTCGCCGCGGCAGGCGCAGCGAATGGAACAAGCCTCAGGCACGTCGGCGGTAAGAGGGCGTCGCAATTATCTAACCAGAACTCGATGAAATTGGCGCTCCTAGCATGCCCGAAGGGGCAACACAAACTCAAACTCACGTGCCGCGTGTTGAACATTGCGGTGTTCCTGGACCAAGCGTGGACAACACGTGCACCGGGGACAACCCTACATTCTTTCCTTCCCTTCTTCTTTTTCAATTTTCAGTTTTAAATAACGCCGCCCACTGGTCAGTGGCAGATTTTGGTGACGCAGATGACTGTCTTGTCATGCACACATCATGCCCAAAAGGGGAGGGCGGCGTTGGTGTCCCGGTGCACCTTGCGATCTCAAGAAAGACACCAGGCAAACGGAATAAACGAAAGAAGATAGAAGGTGTATTTGACGGCCCAATGGGCAGAATGGAATTATGAACAGCGCGGTCATCCCATGGGCTGTACAATAGTACCTCAGGCATATTTGTATAGATGTGCAGTTGTTGAATACGTTCAATGGCCTATACACGTATTTAAAGCTGGCATTCAAATGCCTTTATGGAAACGTAGCCCACGTTCTGTGCATTTCAAAGTACCAAAATTCGCTGATCAGCATTGTGGTATCTACTAAAAGGGGGTCAAATAGCGCAGTTTTCATAATTGAAGAATATTTGGAACATTCCAACCATGTTCTCAGGTTTGTTGATTTTCCAATTCATTGCTGCTAATAGAGAAATTTCCTGATAAATACTTCCTCCGTCCCAGATTAATTGTCGTCTGTTTGAAAGGCTAAATTTGTTATAAGGACAGCCTCAGAGTTTCAAAACAAGGTCAAATCGAAAAGATTGCATTTCAAAACCCTTGATTATCAATTTTCAAGAAGAAAAAGTGAGACATGACCCTTTTGAGCACAAGGCGAAGGTAAATTTTGGTTATTTTCGACCCCAAATATTGAGATTTACTATGTAAAAAGACCCTTGATACAAAGTACTGCCAAATCCTCAATACTTA